TGTTCTGTAATACCCAAGAAAAGAATTTGAGGAAAATGCTATAAATGTAAAATACCCGATTTTGAAGGCTTACTTAAGAAGAGTATATAAATCAACTCATTAATAATTTCTATATAAGTAAATGTCAAAATGATAATATTTTGAATACACTGGATTAAATTAAATGTGCTTTTTCATGTGGCTACCAAAAGATTTAAAATTAGATATTTGGCTACCCTTGTATTTTTATGAAATGTAGTATTATGTAGGCAAGATTCTAGTTTATAAAATGATTCTAACCTAATCTTTGCCAACTTGTTTTGCTGTATGATCTCAGGAAAAACTGTTAACACTGATTACGAGCATTAGAAGAAATGGGGTTTTAAAATAGCCCTAAAACCTACTGCTCAATTTGAGTATCTAAATTTATTTTCCACTAAAAGAACAAATTACTTGGGACAAACAGCTGATGCTAAAGCTGGGACAAGTAAAGTATGTGAACCTGGAAACCACCATACACAGGAACCATCCCGATAAGGCTCCTGTTAGCCAAACCTGGTATATTTTGAGAAACAAAATGATGATAATGATAGTTAAGCCATTGAATATGAATTCATGCTGATTTAAAAAAAACTGACTGAATAAACAAATAAGGGAGAAGAGAGGAAAGACTGATTTATGACAGAATGTCAACTTCTAATAACTGCTGAAGGAATGAAATTGGAAAATCATCAATGGATGCTAAAACTTGTGGGTAAAATTTTGATTGAGACTCTGACAACATCCTGTTATTCAGAATACTTTTCCACAAGCTGCATGTTAATTACAGAGAAATAAATAATAACTTTCAGGTTGAAATATACAGACCACCACACTAACCAAATTTTCAAAGCTAACATCAACAACACTAGGACAAATCAACCTCATGAGCCTTAAGATATGATGTACTGAGAAGAACAAAACATCTCTTCAGTGGTATTCCTGCCAAATGCATAACCAATCTAATCATGAGAAAACAACAGACAAATTCAAACTGAGGCATACTCTACAAAATAACTGCCTTGTACTTTTCAAAAATGTCAAGGTCAAGAAATAGGTTGAGGAAGTATTCCCAATTTGAAAAGACTGAAGAGATGTGATGATCAAATGTGGTACATGATCTCAGAGTGGATCTTGTATTGGGTGGAAAGGGTTATAGAGAAAACAGATAAACAAGATTTGAATATAGATTATAAATTAGATAATAATATTATGTCAATACTAAATCTTACGGTTTTTAATAACTCAGTTTAGATAAGATAATGTCCTTGTTTTTAGGAAAAATACATAAAAAATTTAAGAGTAAAAAGGTATGATGTTTTAAAATTACTCACAAATTGTTCAGAAATACATATGTGAATATAAAGCAAGAATGATAAAGCCAAATAAAACAAATTGTGAAACAACTGGCAAAAATTGTTCTAATTTTTTTGTAAGATCAAAATTATGTCAAAATAAAGTTTTTCAAAACTGGCCTATCTTCCAAATCAGATATTTTAATAACTCTACCAAAGTCTGGATGTTTTTAAATGTACTAACACATTTATTTTATTCTAGACTTAACTCTTGTTAATTTTGACTCATCAGATAGTCATTTACATATTCCATAAGATTCAGGACTATGTCTATAATTGCTCATTATCATTCAAAGTACTATTTACTACATCCAATAAGCATGCAAACATTTTTTAAAGTGAGCACACTCACATACTACATGATGCTTATAAACAAAGCATTAAATTATATAAAGTTCCACATTGAAAACAGAACCATTATTTGGGACAAAGAGGGACAACTCTCCATTTTTTTAAACAAAAACCAGGAATGAATCAAAAGAGTGGTCAAAAATCTAAGTTAAAGAGATAAATTCCACAATTAGAAGAAGGTAAATACTTCTTTTTTATAATGGCAGTCAAGCATTTTACCTTTACAATTAACTATAAGCAGTCACTGACAACTACAATAACTTGCTTCTTTATAAATTTTGACTATATTAATAAAATTGAATCAATTACCTTAAAAGAGTCAAGGTTAAGTGCTGAGATTCAAAACTTCTCTAGGAGTTCATTAAGTTGCTGTATAACCCTGAGAAGCAGCCTAACAATTTCTTATCTTACAAGTAAAACTTCTGGATCATTTCCCCCCCCCCAAAGGCAAAAAGGGTGTTATGTTATAAAAATAATTTCAAGCAGTAATAGCAATGACTATTAAATATAGAAATATAAAGTCACACATGCAAAAAAATTTGGCTTTTTGTAAATATGTTTACAAAGTAATGAATGTAAGCATATTAATAGCAAAAGTTGACTCAAAATAATTACACAAACTACTTTTAGATCATAAATAAGTATGACAGGACACACACACACACACACACACACACACACACACACACACCCAATCAACAAGTACATACCATGTTTAAAATGGTTCTATTGTTTATTTTAAAATAATGGTGACAAAAACCAAGTATGAGATAGGTCTCCTGACTAGAACTGGGACTATAAGAAACAATACAATTCTCAAATATAGGTAGAACCCAGGAAAAAAATTCTTTTCATGTACAATTATGTGTTATATTAAAAGAGTAGCATAGATTGTCCGTTAGATATACAATATTAACTAAATTTTCAGTGTTTTCCAATATTACTTGAGTATTGAAGCAGGTAAGTCAGAAATACAATTGAATTCCCTTTTCCATCAAATCCGGTTTATTTTGTGTCTCATTAAAACTTGATTTTTTTCAAAGGTACAAGTACTTTTGCGATGCAGAGTCGCATCTGGATAAGCAAGAGAAAAACATACTCCCAAAATATTCTAAAATAAAAACTGACCAAAGACAACCTTAAATCACTGTATCCCTTGGCAAAACGTAACATAGTATCGGCATGAGCCAATATTACAATGCTGTCATCCTACCTGATTCTATCTTAATAAACTCAACAATTTCTATGCAGTTTTTTTTTCAGCAGAAAAGATCTTCACATATGTAATAATAAAGATAGGTCCATTTTGTATTCAAAAAGAACAAATACCAACACACTTGGTATAAAGAATTCCCAGAGGTTTTTTTAGACTGAAATCACTTATGAACACTTGACTAAAGCTTTTTCCCTTAACTTCCTCAGATAACACCAAAACATATTTTATATAGATAAAATAAAACAGTACAGGTCTTAAACAGCACTTAAACGCCCCTCATCGGAGCAGTCTTCCTTCACGTACATTTTCCTACATGCATCCCATTCTGCAGGGCACCTTTCGGAATCGAAGTTGTCACTGGTGTAACCTAGGAGGACCTCCGCCCCACCAGTGAAAGCAGGAGAGATCTTAAGGAGCTAACCAAACAAACCTAGGGAGTGGGGAGGGGGAAGGGGCGCGAGGTGGCGCAAGAACAGATGAAAACAAGGTGAGACAGTTGTTTCCTTAAGGCACTAAGGTCACTCCCCAACTCCAAATGCCAATATTTACTGGCCAGCAGAAAAAGCGGGGCCATCGCCCACCGCTGACACAACGCAACCTTCCTTCCCACTCTCGGCACCCAGTCCCACCCACACCCCCGATACACAAACCGGCGCAGCTCGCCCGGCCCGACCGCTCTGGCCCCTCCACGCCCACCCACCAGCCTGCCCACCAGCTCCAGGCGCAAGTCTCACGCGGGCAAAAAAAAGGCTGCTGCAAGGTGGGGAGTCCCGCCATCTCCCGCCACCCCGAGCAACCCACAGAATGAGAGCTCCTAGTCCAGAAGTTTGAAGCAAAGGAGTCGGACCCCCTCCCCCGGGAAGGCAGCCTTGCAGCTGAACCGGGCTGCGAGCCGGGGAGGGCGACGCGAGTGTGTGTGCTGGGAGAGTCCATCACATGACAGTGAAAGGACCGGAGTCGTCGGGGCGTCCGCGCGGAGGGGTGAGTTGGGG